CCCGTACCGGCGCCGTAACCAAGTTTAACCAGGTGGCTGGTCAATGGGGAGAGGTCTTGCTAACCTTTTTGCGCTGACTTCTGAACCGCGCTTAACAATTACGCTTCTTGCCTCTTTATCATAAGTTATATAGACACCCGGAAAGTTGAAAGGCTAAACAAACAGAAGACATTAACAGCCACAACGAGAAAAACCTTCTGGAACCCTACAAACACGCCAAAAAGAGTCTACAACCCTTCTACACAAAGCCAGAATTTATCCTGGCCCCTCACGTCGCGCTTAGACAAGAAGCTCCGAAGCTACAGGTGGCCTCGAACTTCGGGATGGTAGTCATCCATGGTACGAACTGCTTCTTCTCCTGCAAGCTTCTCTCAAGGAACCGATTGGGCTACTGTTCGAGGCTTGGGGTTGGCATTCTAGGGCTAGGGTTTGGACTTTCGCAACTCAGACAATGCAGGCGAGGATGGTTCGGGTCAGCAGACGGACACATTCGCCCGAGTAAGTCGGCCATGGCCAGGGCTACCGCTGCTACTTCTACGAACGCTCGGAATGGGGTTGGGGAGCCGTTTTTCGTTTTGTTAACGTCCCTTTTCCGTCTCGCATGATCCTAGAAGCGGTTTTTCCGCTGGGCCTACCTGAGGGCCTCTTGTAGAATTTAGGGTCTAGATGGGTTTAGCGAATATGAGGCTTTGGTAGACATCTAGGATTTCGGGTGTTGCTTCTATGCGTCTTTCTCTCTAGGATCTATTCTTTCTCCTCCCCACCCCCCGTTCTCACACTCGGCCTGGCCAAGGATTTAGGGCTGAGGGGGGGCTCTGGAGGCTGCATGAGACCTGGTCGTAGAAGTAGTCGTAGAGCATCTCCCCAGGCTCCAGTCCAGGCAGCTCCACGTCTGGCTGCACCGGCGGAGCCTTTTTGAGTCTCTGGAATCTTTGGACGCTCACAGGTAGTCTTGAGGGTCTGAAATTCACAGTCTCGACGCTCAGACGCCGGACAATCCAGCATGGGGTCTTGATTATTCACACTTGAGGATCTAGTAGTTTAGGCTTCTGACACTTCGTACACTTCTCGATGTTGTGTGCGTGTCAAGCTTGTGCTACTCTTCTCTGTGTCGTTCCAATTTGGGCAGAGATGTACAGTGGCTACTGAAAAGCTGCACGAGCCCGGAAAGCATACGCACCCGGGGACTCAGGACATCACCCACACATCGGTAATAGCATTGAAAGGCGTACCGCAACTTTATCGGAGGATTCCCTTCGGCTTTGGGGTTGCGGGAAGTCAGAAAAAGCTTCCAAATCTCTACCGATGCGCCAACTGGCACTGGGGCAGAGGCCGTTAGGAAAGCTTTCTCCAGCTCTTCGACTATCGATGGCCGCAAATCTTCATTCACCGTCGCCCAGACCTTGGGGACTTCAGCGATCCCCCATTCCACTTACGGAGGCATCTGCTTTCGTCCTAAACCCTAAACCCTAAACCCTAAACCCTCTCAAGAGATCGGATCTTAGCCTCCGGCCAGGTCGTTAAAGCCCTTTCGGCTCTTCGCATCACACGTAGCTCCAACAGACCAGATCAGGCAGAAGAAGAAGAGAGGGACCAAGTTCGAGACCTCAAGGAACGCCAGCATGCATGTTATCTAACGGTATCTAGGCCACCGCTATGAACAGCATCCGCATCTGTCTGCAGCCCTCTGCCCTGCGAGTATTGTCGGGCTGAGTCCTCGACAAGCCTCGGTCGGACACAAAGGTGGCAGAAAATGCACGAAGCATCCATCAGGTTTAGGGTTTCGGGTTTACGGCTTAGGGTTTTTTCCCTCCTACATGGCAAGGACTTAGGGTTTATAGGGTTTAGGATGCACATCAGCACTGCGGCACAATCCCCCCAAAGCATGCCAATGCAAGCAGGGGTGCTCTGCGATGGAATCTTTGAAAGAGGCCGCAGGCTTCAGCTCCGTCGGTTGATAGTTCACGAAGTAGCAATCCATCAGCTTGAACAAAGCCTTCCCAAGACCAGCTTGAGAGGCGTTTCAGAGCAGCAAGACTTTGTAGCCTGGATGGTGTTGTTGTCGGTCGTAGTGACCTAAGTTTGCAGTGGAGCAGCCATGCGTTCTGGCAGGCTGGACATGCCATGGGCTTGTAGGTCTGTAAGCCCCTGGCACATCTGACCGTCTTCTTGTTCACCTCGTGACGGCTGCTCTAAGGCCGCACCAAGACCCCTAAACCCTAAACCCTAAACCCCTAAACCCTAAACCCTAAACCCTAACCCCTAAACCCTAAACCCTAAAAGAGGCTCAAGCAGAGCTGATGCAAGGAGAGCAGCGTAGGCGATGCAAGGCGGCACGACCTCCTCGAGCAGTCTTCGCAATGTCTCAGCCTTGCCGGGGTTATGGTGCTGTTAGCTGGGTTTAGGGCTTACAGGGTTTAGGGCATATAGGGCTTATAGGGTTTAGGGTTTACAGGGTTTACAGGGTTTACAGGGTTTACAGGGTTTAGGGTTTAGGACTCCATCCTCTGCGGTTGTCTCTACAACTCGGCGAGTGGCCAGGATTGGCTTGAAGGAGAAGGTCTCGGGCAAGGCCTTGGCAGTTGAGGCATTCAGCCGCGATGTGATTTTATGCGCGACGGCCAGGAGTGGCCTCGAGCCAGGAGTCGAAGAAAGGCTGGAAGCCAAGACCTGACACAACGTCATGATTGCTATTACTATGATAAGACTACCAATGACAACACTACTACTAGCAATAATATCAATATTTTATAGTCGCTTTTAATAGTAATAATCGTAGTAGTAATCAGAATTTTTGTATTTAACACACAAATTTACATCCAGCTTTCCACCATGCAGATCGGATCACGGTCTCTAAGGCATGGGACTCTCCGGCTCCATGTAGATCATCCCACAACGAGAGACGGTCGCGGGCCTAGCACCGAACAGAGCGACAACGAGGCACTGGGCGTCTGCAGCCATAGAAGATAAGCGTGGAACTGCCTAAACACTTCCTCTCATGCAGGCAGGCCACGATGCCACTTCGAGATCCTCCACTTCGAACTGCATCCGCATTTTGGCTGTCAGTGCCTCACGAGAAACTCGGAGGCATGGCCTTTCCAGCTTTTCTAGGAGATGAGAGCACGTGGGCAAGGCTTGGTGTTTAGTCCCGAGCAATAATCTCGCCACTGACCAGGCAAAGCTTCTTGTTGTCGTCCAAGACCGTGTTCATGCCTCAAGTCGTCAAAGGGCCGTGAAAATGCGCAAGCCTCATGGAATGGCTACTTTGGAGACTCACTTCAATAGGCCCCCAGCTCTCAATCCACAAGGCATCAACGGGCCCATCAAACATGACCCAGTGATGGTCCTGGCTTCGAGGTGCCTACATGGTCACCCGAACAGGACCAAAGAAACCACGGCAACTCTGCACCATCTCAACCCGCTTACACCTGGGCTACGCATATGCCAGGAACGTCTCAACCCTGAACCCTTTGCCTCTAAACCTCTGAAGCCTATTTTTTTCTCGAGGAGGGCTGCAGCGCAGTCGTGACCCTAAACCCCTGAATGGCGATCCGGATTGTGGTTGTCGCGGGTGGCATTGCGGATCAGCTCTGCAGCGACTCCATCGGACCATTCGCGCGTCACCTTCCAAGGCGCGAGCTGAGGAGCTCGCAGGACTCGGGCAGTTCTCTGGGCCAGGGTATCTCAGGGAGTGACGCAAGAGTTTTGTGTACCCAAGACGGGTCCAAATCTAGAGACATGCCTTCAGATACCAAAGTCAGGTGCTGCGGAGCCAGGGCTCAGGGGGCAGGAGCCACGCAAAGAAGCTTCAAAGCTCTGCGACCCTTCGACCTCGTCGAAGGCTCCGTAGAGTTGGTTCTGGGTGATGGCCTGCAAAGAGCATCCGTGCAGCTATGACTATAGACCAGTCTGTGGCACCCGGGGCCTTGGGGTTGAGCACGTGCACGTGTGTCTTTTGGAAAGGGGACTCCCCATCCTGCGGGACAGAATGGCTAATTTCTGCTCCTGAGTTTTACGTGCCAGAGCAGCGGTGCCTTCGGATCCACCAAGGCCGTGCAAGCCGCCTGCGTGCCGGTGCGCCATGGGAAATGAAAAGACTTCACGGGCCACCAAAGATGGCCTGCAACGTGCGATAGCAGCAGGTCTTTCCACCACCGGTTGGGCCAACCAGCATCATGCCGTGACGAACCTGTCGGTCAGGGGGCATTGAAGGGTTTATCACTAGACTTGGGGGCCCGAGATGCATCCAGCCTGGATCATGTCAAAGAGCTCGAACTGCTTCTTAATGAAATAATCTGTTGGCTGCCTGAGAGGTTGGCCACCAACTTGCGATCGGACAGAAGCCATTGGGCCATGGGCGTTTTTAGGGCGTTTTCAACATGCATCAACAGCGCTCATTATCCTGCTCCGCAATGGCGAACCAAGTGCTCCCATTTTTCCAGCAACCACTAGAAGCCCCGTCACCGCAAACCGAAGTCTGTAAATAACCCCTTGCAACACAGAAGCGAATACCAAAAAACAACAACGCGTACCAATTCACGGGATCACGCCGATCTTGCCTGGCAAACGTAGCCTGGACATGTTCCTGGTACCAGTGCCACCAAGCTGCAGATTCGTAACCTTGGACTTCTCCCTTGCCATCTCATCCAACTTCCCATAGTCGATGGCGGGCCTTGGTGAAAGCTTTGGCTTCACAAGAAGGGATGTCCTGCATACCATTTCTTCGGAGGGTGCTCTGAGCTTCAGACTTTTCCACGCCTGGGAAGAGGTCCGAGATGATGTTGTAAAACAGCGGAAGGTCATCCTTCAGGAACTTTGGCACCTGCAGTGATGCCGAATGCGCGGCCGTCGCCTCAAAACCCCAGCTCAACTACTTGAGCAGAGCTCGGCTGGGCACATTGACATCCTGCAGGGCTCGGAGCAGGATCTGCCCCTCACTTTGGTCCTTTCATGGCATCTTGATTCAATGCAGGCGACCCTGATCTCTGCTTTCAGGGCCCCAGACCGGGTACTTGCGCTTGTTGAGGCCGGCGGCTTCAATCACAGTTTTGACCTTGCTCAACGGTTCGCGCATGGGCTACGAGGGACTTGCACCGAGTTCCCCGACAGCTCGCATGCCGTAGTCGTAGTGGCTTTGGGCAGAAAGCTGCTCACTGCAGAGCTGGAAGGTCGTGACCTGCCGGACTTGTAGGATGGACACTCACGCTCGAGCAAAGCCGGACAAGGGCTGCAGACAATACTCAGTCGACGATACAACTACAACGCATCAAGTCATCAAGGGTCTAGTGGCTTAGGCTTTTGGTTGGGGCGCTCACACTTGGACAATCCAGGCGAGGCATGTGGTTCGATGTCTGCTGAAGAGAAACGGGTTGAGCACCGGAGAAGAAAAAGACACACCAAGATCGCTGCCATTTTCTTTGCCAGATGCCGCCCCTTTTCGAAGCCAAACGCGTAGAAGCTGATCTCGCCTGGGAGATGAAGATGTAAGGCAACAGCATGAAGCAAGGAACAATACAAATGGCAACAAGGATAAGAATAAGAACAATAACAAAGATAGTAGTGACAGTAATCGCAATTCCCCCCCCCGCCCCCCCCCCCCATGCAGACAAGCAGCCGATCATGGCATAGTCAGGAACCATCATGGCCTGATCATCGGAGCTTGATACCGAGCGAGTGCGTCAAACAAATTGGTGGCGGGCCCTTGCTTAGACCGGGGTCCACAAAAAAGACCCTTACTTATGGAATTGATATGTTCTCACTGTCGTCGTACAGGGATAGTGCTGAAAACTGGAGGTTGTGCACTAGACCCCCTAGTTTCTGCGGCTGGTGCTTCGAAAGAACTTGGCCCTAGCAGCTCAGACGCTTGCCATTGGTCGAAACAAGGCAGCCAAGTTGTCGGGAAGCTCGCTTCGCCCTGCCTGCGTTCAAGCTACTATAATAAAACGTAGTATGATATCATATGATAGGGTAGAAGGGCCAGACTCTGAGGGCGAGACATAACCTGGGTTCATCGTGATGAAGACCTGTGGTGAAAACAAGCCTAAACCTCACTTCCTGCGACTTGACACTGCGTGAAAGAGTTGGAGCCCGCAACTCTTCAAGCAAAGGCCCCTGCGTTGAAGGTGGGCCGCATCATGATCAAGGTCGAGTCAAACTCCAGCTCCACAGAGTCCTAGGCCCAAATCAGCGAAGCGCTTGCACTATATAAATATAATATATATATATATACATATATACTTATATACTTATATACTATCAGCCTTCGACTATGAGGCTTGCATTCATGCAGCTGGTTGTGATCCCTGCTACTATCTCTTGATTGTCTAAATCCTGCAGTACCCATTATAAGGAATATACCATAATTCCCATAGTTTAGGGTCCTTAAGGTAATGCAGGATTTATATCATCAACCGTATCTCTTGCATTGCCACCGAGCACGCGGCGTTGTAGGACGTCAGCTCCCTCTTCGCGCTGAAAAGTTGGAGCAGCTGCTGGGCGATGACGCTGAGCACCTGAAGAGTCATGGTGTAACATCACAACACCAGAACATTTAGGGTTCAGGGTTTAGGCGGTTTATGCTCTCACAACTCGGACATGCCAGGCGAGGTCATTGGTTTAGGGTTGTTGTAACATCATTGGTATCATTAGGGTTTACGCTCTCACAACTCGGACAAGCCAGGCGAGGATCCATGGTTGCAGGTCGGTGTGAAACTGAGCAAGCCTCATCATTAGAATCATTTTTTGCCTCCCACACAGCAAGGACGAGCCCGCATTTCAGGGTAGTTCGGGTAAACATTAGAATCATTAGGATTTAGGGTTTAGGGCCAAGTTTAGAGCTTAAAATTAGGGTATAACACCATAACAACTGAATGCAAACCAAGTTGTAATGGTTTGATATTTGGATATTATGATAGTATAATCTGACATCCTGTCGCGAGAATTTCGCCGCATGGCCTCAATGTAGATACGGTTGAACTCGTCAAAGCAACACCAGGCGCCGCTTGATGCCAGGCCCTTGAAGAACTTGCCGACCTAGCAAAATGTGCTTCCTTCTTTGATGCTGCAGCACACGGGACTCGGTGCACCATGAGGTAGTCCATTTCTGGCGAGCAATTGAAGACGACACACCTGGCAAGGTCACAAGCTTTGGGGGGCACAGATCCACAGCTACACTGAACTGTGTTGTGGGATGTTCATTCCATCGAGTACTCTTTCTCCCTTCAGCGGTTCTTCTGTACAATGTCGGCTCAGGGCGAATCACTGGCGATGCGTTGCCTCCGTTAAAGTTGCCTGGACCATCGAGCCCGGCCATTTTGCCGACACTTATGGCCGCGTCGAAAACTTTAGTGTCCGCTTGTCGTGGTTGGCCGCCCTCGAACAGAAGTCGCGATCGCCACGAAGCCGTGTTGACGCGAACTTCATGGCACGCCAATTTCGGGAAGTTGCCGCCAGAACCACGTCAGCATCGTCTTTCAAGGCAGTCGAGGCATGAGCTATCGCCAAGGGATCCTCGGCGATAGCTGCGAGGACTACGTGCCGGTCATCACGCAAGTGCGGAGCTGCAAGCTGGAGGGATCGCCCACTTTGCGACACAGCCGCCAAGACAATAGCCTTGTCCTGCAGCCGGTTTTTGCTGGCGTACTGCAGCGCTCCACCTTCCTGCCTGACCGCAGCCAGGACAATCCGCGGATCGTCTCTGTAGGTTTTGGGCACAAACTGCAGAGCCAGGCCCTGACATGTGACGGCAGCAAGGACCAAGCTGCGATTGCAGGTGGCAAAGGCCATTGCGGCTGGATTCTCCGCCACTGCCGCCACTACTATTTCCTCGTCTGACCTGTATGCATGGGGGACCTTTGCAAGTAACAAGCCACTGCTCTCAACAACCGTCCGAACGAAGTGGCGGTCTTTCTGGAGTTCTGCGGGTACCTCCGTGAAGCAGCTAACTCCCGTGCGGATATCATCGATAGTTCTTGCCCATATGGGATCCAAGCGGACAAGCAGTAAGTCTAGCTTCATAGCAACATCGTCCATCTGCCGCTCGGCGGCACGTCTCACCTCGAGGTTGTTCCTTAACGGGGACGAGCATGTGGCCAATAAGAGGCTTTGCTCCAGGACCGGAATGTTCAGTTTTTGCTCCAGCTCCTCCTTGACCTGACGGATTCGCCAAGATGGAGAAGCAAAAATGGAGATCAACTCCTTCCCGGCGAGATTTCGTACCACTACATGGCGATCATCGGACATGGCAGCTTGAACCCAAAGAGCAAAAATAAAACGGAGCTCAGATCACTTCTCCGCAGACATGGTTGTAATTGTAGTATGGTTGTTCTTAACCCTAATATGCTTCTTATGATTACTCTGGATATGATTCTGATTATTCTTCTTGTTAGGCTGCTCATTGCTGTGATTTCAGTTGTTAGTTCTGATAATTACCGCTACTATGTTAAGTTACTGCGATGTGTTTTTGTTGTTGGCATCCTTCTTGGGATCAAGATGCACTCGGCATCTCTGAGACATCTGGGTGCCCGGCTGCTTGGCCAGCGCTTTGGCCAGATCCTTTGTCGTCTCCGTCTTGCCGGTACCAGCCTTCGAGGCCCCGGTGCAGATGTCGGCTTTGGGCTAAGAGCCTCTTTTCAGCGACTCCTGGGGTGTGGACAGGCCCGGCCGGTGCACCTCCCAGGTTCAGGCCTCAGAGCCGCAAAGGGTTCTCTCGGCTGCAACCGCCCTCCAAACCGGGGGGGCTCTGCTTCGCTGTAAGCTCTGTGCTCTGGGCGCCCATCAGGGTCATGTAGCACCTTCTGACAGCCGTGTCTGGTCAGCTCTAACACGGCCCAGATGAACTGCAGAGGCTCGCATGTCTGTGAGGGGAGTGATCACCAGGCGGAAGGAGTTTCCCAAGTACTCATAGCCTCGGCAAGAGCGGGAGAAACGGCGGTTTGTGCGGGCAGTGGCTGATGCCATCTTTCTTACTCGGCGTTCAGCCATACGGGAAAGGAGTCTGCACCATACGGACCTTAGAGATACAAAAATCGTGCAAGGACAAGCGACAAACATCAGGCCGGTCATGCAGAGGTTCCTCCGAGGCTACGACCCACATGTTCTCCTTACGAGGAGATTCACTGTGCATGTGAGGGGCGGGGGGCGGGGGCGGGAGGGGCTGGGCGGGGTTTTGTGGACCCTCTTCAATTCAGAACCTTCCCGATGCCATCAGGTCTCAGAGTTTCGATCGTCCATCTCCCAGTAGTACCGCAGCTGCGAAATCCACTCAAAGGACCTTATGGGCTTCGAGCTCTCGCATGCTTTTGGTGCTGCGTGGCGTGCGCGCAGACACAAGGCTCAGACATGCAGTCGTCGATCTTTTCCTTGGCGAGCTTCTCCACGGTGTCCTGTCACACCACCTTCATTTGGCCATCCTCGTAGCGCTTCTAATGCTGCTACTGGCGCTCGCGTGTTTAATGTCTTTCTCCAGCTTCTTCTACTTCTGCTGCGCTAGTAAGTAGTCGTCCTCCTCCTCGTCGTCGTCGTCGGCGGCTTTGACAATTATCAGTACAGCAAAACCTCGCGGCTACGCCCACCTGAACCTACATCGCTCCTAGTGGACACTAAACTTCACTAAACCCTACACCCTAAACCCTAAACCCTACACACCCCAGCGTAAGGTCCTTTGCATGGACATCGATCACCACGAGAGCTCCAATGCTCATCCTGCGCGGAGGAGCTGTCAATGCCCGGGCCCGTCGCTGTCTGGAACTCTGCACAAAAGATGCTTCAAAGGGTTTCAGCACTCAGACTCGGACTTGCCTAGGGGAGGTTCCTGGTACGACGAAGGTCTTCGGCTAGCGACAACGCATTCGCCATCGCAGCATTAAGGGTAGAAACACAACTGAAGACCACAAACCCTTAAGGCATCCGATCTTCAGTTGACTAGGCCACATCATAGCACCACAGTCATTGGCCTGTAGTGCCTAGCATCCCTGTCCCACTCGCAGCAGCACATCTTCCTATGCACATTGTAAAGGATGCGTCACGTCCCTCAGCACTGCATCGGAACGGGCCACCGCAACATTACCATTAAGATGTCCGCTGTTCTGTTAAGGCTGGGAACCCTCCAAATCATTTATTTGCAAATGAAATGCAAATGAAATGCAAATAGAGTCCAAATAAAGTGCAAATAAAGTGTAGACCTGCGGGGCGCCTCGGGTAGAAAGTGTGATGAAAATGTAAATAAAATGCAAAAAAGTGCAAATAAGTGCGAATAAAGTGTATGTGGAAGGGGTTGGAGAGGACACAGAAGTGCAAATAAAGTGCAAATGAAGTGTGAATAAAGTGCAAAAAAAGTGCAAAATGGCCTCTCCACCATGCAGCTGAAACCTAGGTGTCGCACTTTTTTCGCACTTTTTTTGCACTTTTTTCGCATTTTTCCAAGCAGAGCTAGCTTTTCGGAAAAATAATGCTTTTTCCCTAGGGAAAATGCGAAAAAAGTGTGAAAAAAGTGTAAAAAAAGTGCAAAATGGCCTCGCCACCACGGTTCGGGCTCTTTCTTGCAGCTGAAACCTAGGTTTCGCACTTTTTTTTTCCGCACTTTTTTTGCACTTTTTTCGCACTTTTTCACACTTTTTTCGCAGTTTTCCAAGCAGAGCTGGCTTTTCTGGAAAATAGTGTTTTCCCTAGGTAACATGCGAAAAAAGTGCGAAAAAAGTGTGAAAAAAGTGCGAAAAAAGTGCAAAAAAAGTGTGAAAAAAGTGCGAAACCTAGGTTTCAGCTGCAAAAAAGAGCCCCGAACCGTGGCGGCGAGGCCATTTTGCACTTGTTTTTGCACTTTTTTTGCACTGTTTTCACACTTTTTTCGCATTTTTTCTAGGGAAAAGCACTATTTTTCGAAAAGCTAGCTCTGCTTGGAAAAATGCGAAAAAAGTGCAAAAAAAGTGCAAAAACAGTGCGAAAAAAGTGCGAAAAACGTGCGAAACCTAGGTTTCAGCTGCAGACCCCGAACCCTGGGGGCGAGGCCATTTACACTTTATTCACACTTTATTTGCACTTCATTTGCACTTTATTTATACTTTATTTGCACTTAATTTGCACTTTATTTACACTTATTTCACACTTCTGCCAGCTACCCTTACAAATTATTTTCACTTTTTTTACACTTTATTTACACTTTTTTTACACCTTTTTAACACTCTCCCGCACACTTTTTTCACACTTTTTTCACACATTTAATGATCTGAGAGCTATCCAACGTTAACAGAACCAGGGCGTCTTAACATTACCATGGGACGAAAGTCGGTACTCGCTGCGCAAAGTCCGCGGGCAAAGCCCGGGCTCAGCGTAGTGTTCAGCATGCCCAAGGTCACTTCGCAGGTGATGGCGATAGCAGCGATCTGGCTCGAAAACGGCATCTCGCGAAGACCGTGGAGTGTCAGCGCCGGGATGACGGCGCGTTGCTGCCCAAACCATTGCCGGATCCTCGAGCGTGTGGATGCACGCCGGGGCCCCAAAGAGAACTGGGGACCTGCTGGCTCAGGAGGATGGTCCGGGACCACTGCCAAGTTGGAGGCGCGACGCTCCCCTTTGTTGTTCAGCTCGTCCAAGCGCCAGGGGTCGGAGATTGGAGACCGCCTGGGCCGCACCTCTACACTGATGAGGTTGCCCGGATCCGGCTTCGCCTGCGGGCCCTTCGCCTCGATACACTCCCTTGGTAGCGGACTCATCGGGAGGAGCTCGCGCAGCACTATGTTGTCCTCCAAAATCTCCAGCATGAGCAGCGCCAAAAGCGCGCAAGCGGCTGATGGATTGAAGGCTGGCGCCTTCGGTCCGTCGAGCACCAGCTCACCAAACATCATGTATCTGGCAATGACCAGCCCGATCAGCGGGATAAAGCGGAAGTAACCTCCGTAGATCTTCAGCTCGTCGTGCAGCTTCGACCATCCTGTTGGAGCGAACAAGGCCACAGCTGCATGGGTGCCCACGAGCCTCCGTCCCACCTTAAAGAGGACATATCGCGTCCAGCCGAGCCGGGCCAAAACATTCAGCACAATCGTCAGGCTCCCTGTTCCTAGCCAAGTCCAGCCCCCTCCGTTCATCGTGCCGCCAAAGACAGCCACGAGCCGCGCAGCCTCCGAGAATGCGTGCGCGGCGATGAGCATGAGCGGCATGGCCTGGTAAGCGGTGTCGCCGGGAACTTGTGGACGCTTCGCGACCACTAACCGGCTGTAGACGAACTTCGTGAAGGCCACCGTGCTGGTCTCTCCACAGGCAGTACTCAGTGGCAGGAAAACAGTTGCCAAAAAAACCCGGCCACTGGCAAGTAAAAGCAGGTAGGTCACCACCATGCCGGCCAGCACTATGCAACAACCAACCGTGCCGCAGACCTGCGCCAACGTCCACATCAAGCAGGGAAGGAATCGACGCATCTCGTGTCGTGCCCGCGTCAAGTAGTACAGAAGCGTCGGTCCTGTGAGAAGGTTGCAACCCACGCCTAGGAGCGACGCCGGGAAGTCTGGCACCTGTCTGCAGGTCGCTCCCGCAACGACGATGATGCCCAAGACCAGTCCCGCCAGGTCGGTTGTCCACGTAGACCTCTCTGCTGCAAGGCTGGCACCCCAGGTCGCGAAAAGACCCCAGCAGCAGAAGGCGATTCCGTTGAAGGCCAGCAGACCACCACGCCACCAAGGCAGCTGTCCCTCATGGGCCCGCTCCTCGAAATGGACGGAGATCGCCCACCTCGCGACGTGCCATACAAGCAGCAAGGCCATAGATAGGAGCATGTGGCGCCAGGAGAAGGTGCCACAGGCCATGAGTTCGGGGTTTCTAACCTCCACATCTAGTTCCCGCGCAAGCTCCATGTCAGGATTCAGCACAATATCGCCTGACATTTCGGCCTGCACCGCCCCCTCTTCGTCCAGAATCCGCACGTGCCGCATCTTCCCAGCTGCCCGGAAGATTACCAGTTGCTGCTGGGCCTCCAGCTCCACCGCATCGGGGCCCGTTTTCGTCCAGTAGGTGCGGAACGACGGCCCCAGGCGTTTGCCGAAGCTCGACGTGGCTCCCCTTGGAGGCTGCCATAAAAAGCACCGATCCAGCCCCTCGAAGTTGCGAACGCTGATGCGATGATCCTCCACCCCCTGGGTCAGCAGATGAGCAAGCCGTCCTCCAGCAGCAATCCGCCGCTTGCAGAGCGTCTCTTCCGCAGCAGTGCCGCTGCCCACAACGATGAGGCAGTGGTCGCAGTAGCTCTGCTCATCCATGATGGCTGGATGATCTTAGGGTTGAGGGACCAGGACTTCTTGAGCCGAAATGGCTACGGCACAGGGTTTAGGGTCTAGGGTTTATAAGTCATACTATCTGGTATGTATATGTATATATATATATGTGTGTGTGTATGTATGTATGTATGTATGTATGTATGTATGTATGTATGTATGTATGTATATATATATATATATGTTATAGTATACGTACAAAATAATCACATTTTACACATCACACATCAAATAATATACATAATATACATTATATAAAGCGGCCGCATATGCGCATGCCACTCCGCATAGACCTCTGCAGCTTCGTGATGTCACCACGCACCAGCCGCACCTGGGTCTTTCCCAAAGTAGGGAGCGTGTTGTACGGCCGGCGGAATTCCGAGACACCCGCCAGGTCCAGCAGCTGTTCGCTCAGCTGCGTGAAATACTCTGCGGTCTTCCCGCCTCAAGACATCTCAACGAGACTATCGTATGCAGTGTGGGCTCTCAAAATTTCAGACCGAACTTCGTACGTATTCTGTGCAATCGGCCTTTGATTGCTTCTTCCACCTCTGCAGTCCTTGACATGGTTCCATGGTAACCCACATCTACTCGCATCATGCGTGAATTGCAAGCTACTTCTAGTCTCTGAATCTGAGGCATGCTCCAGTGCACTTGGCTGGAGTTTAAGCAGACCTGCCCCGGATTCTGCAAGACCTCGGCGGAACGTCCCAGACCCCGCCGGGATTCTGTGGGGCGCGGTGAGGCTTCTCAAAGGGCTCCGGCCCATTCGGTCCGCGGCATTTCTGGGTAGGTTTCCACCTGAGGCTGAGGGTTTGTTTGTTTCGAAACCCTTGAAGGTGTGTTGGAGGCCCAAGTGAGCCAAGATCTTTCTTGCTGCGGCTATCTACTTGCCGACCATGTGTCGGACAGGAGCTATCAAAAACAAGAGAGCAGTGAACGACTGAGGAACACAGACAGTTTTGAGCCGAACCTGCACCACTCCTTTACGCCAAAGTTGTTGCAAGGGCCGATACATCTCTGACTTCCAACTCGGTCTTCTTCTTCTTCTTCTAATCAAATCTCGTTCAAGGTTGATGGCCAGAAAGCAGGCAGTCGAACTGCTGCGCCCCAACGCGCATGTGCTCCAGTCTGTGGTCCAGGCCGGCCCTTTACGTCTTCAAGATTACAATCCACCCGGGTTTCCCATGCTGTTTGGCACTCACTCCTCCAACACTTTATCTTCCGCCTTTGACGGTTGCCCTGCCTTAATCCGCTCTGTCTCTGCCTCTGTCTCGTGCTTTCCGCTGGCGTAGGTCTAGGAATCTGGCTCCAATGCGACAGACATTTCGCACTCCAGCGATCATCTCGTTCTCCACTTCCTCAGAAGGGCAGGTCAAGCCTGCAACATCGGATGCATGTGCTGTGATTAGAAAGAGAGTTTCAGGCACTCTGTCGACTTTTCTCGAGCAGTCAGGTGGACGGTGGGGGTGGTGGGGGTGGCGGTGCCGGCGGTGGACCTGCGGAGGCTGGCAAAGCCTCGGGCACCTGCAGCGTCACAGTCATCACGTCGTCGCTCTCCGGCGGCACCGTGAGGGAGTGTGCTTGGCCAAGGTAGTTCACAAGGAAACTGCTTCCGGGCTCGGCATTGTCGGGAAGGGTAACCTCCACTTGGTGAAACTGATAGCCTGCGACTGGACCTTTTTGGCATTCATCGGGCTCCCAATTCTCGCGCACCGCGTTGAACCTTGGTTTGGCTTTACATCTCCTGAAAACCACGAGGAAACTAGTCAGCAACTAGCCTTGCACCCATAGGGCTTGCACAAAAAGCAAGAACAACTATCCAAGGGAGGAGAAGCATCAGCTCCAGAAAGCTGGAGAAATCCTCACTGGCTGTTAAAGCCGTCATCAGCGCCTTGAAGTTGGGATCGTGCCCATACGCGTCACTGCAAGCGCTGAAATACTCCATGAAAAGCGTGCAGTCTGCATCGCAGTCGTCTAAGACCTTCAACAGCCGGTCCTGGGGCATCAGCGCAAGTCTAGCAGGCTTTTTCTTGAACAAGAACACAGAGCAAGAGCCATAGTAACAACAAGATCTAAAGCTGCCCATCAATATGACCGTTGGTCCTTTATGCCATCACGCCTACAGACATCTGATCTATACTCATCTGAAGCACCCTCCGTGTGGCATAAGGGCAGGGAAAAAACTTCGCTTACAACGAAGCTCAGGCTGTTGAATTTTCACACCGCACCTCATAGAGCTTCTTGTATTTCCGGTGAATATTCACCCACTGCATGGGACAGCTCCCATCAAAGTGAACTACAGCAAACTCTTCAATGTGGCAGTTTATGAACGTCTCCACCTCGTCTTGGAACTTCGGATCTTGGAATTCCGACATCACGCAAGTGGCAACCTCTTGCATGGACATACTATTCGCAGCAGCATGGGCAGCAGCCATGGTGTGGCGACAGGCTTGCTGTTCTTCTTGGATTTACTGGATTGAGTGGAGACGGCTTTCTCTCATTGATTGGAGACATGCAGACATGCTTCTTTTTGAGGCGGCACTTCGGATGCCCTCGCATGCTTTACTTCCAGGTTCAAGGCTTTCCCAGCTTTTTGAGCTACAGACCTTTCATCTGTAAGCCAGAAGCTTTCAGAGTGCAGGGGCAAGGATACGGACCGCCTTCAAAACAAGAAGCCGGTTCTCACAGAAATCTGAGAATCGATCCGTCATCCAGGTCTCTACGTTCTTGTCCTTTGTTACCACGGGATTGACCTGACATCGTGCACCAGCTTGAACATGTCACTGTCATCATCCAACCCCGCTGGCAGGAGGCTAAGCTCGGAACAAAGTCGATGATTTCTCCTTCCTTGGAGTGCATCTGGGTGGCGACAAGCTGGTCCGTGAACGTCAGCTTCTTCATCGCCTGGCGATTTATGAGAAAGTCGTGGGTCCCCTGCTGTCCGTGCCTGACGCAGGTGCCGCTGCCTCGAAGACTTTCGACAGGAAGGGTTGCACCCTCAAGGGATCCTGCAAAGTGACAAAAGTCACTCTTTCGTGCAGCAAATCCAGAATCATGGCGGCGCTTATCATGCCTGCAATTCGATGATTTCAAGTGAGAAATGAAGTATGCCAGTGTAGATCACCAAGCAGTGAATCAGCACCACGGCGACCATGAGGACCACTACGACCACAATCACCACGACACCACGACCAACAACACCAACAGAAGACCACCACCCAACCAGGACACCACCCCTCCGCGTGTGGGGTTCCGGGGCACCTCGCTTCCGCACATTGCCACACATGCACTGGTGGACACCGCAGCGGTGGTTGGCGAAACTTTCACGGCGCGCGCCGTGTGGGAACCCTTCCCAAGTCTATTTACTCTTTTCGTAAGAAACCCATAGTGACGTGTTGTGTGTCTGGAAGAAGTCTTATCATAAGTACATCTATATGACTGAAGCTCACACTGGCAATGCTGGCCAGAACTACAGGCAGTATGAACACTACGAGTAGCGGAGCCATTGCCGGTCATCGGCAGCCCGGTGCCTTGGTCTGAGACAGGATCTCCAGCAACTCATCGTTGGACAAGAAGTAGAAGCGGGCGAAGGCAGCACACCTAGGGTTCAGGGCTTTTGGCTCAGGGTTTCGGTGCTCAAGCTTTTCCCTGTCGCTGCGGCAGAGATCGAAGCTCACCGGCGCTCAAGTTTGGGGTTGAAGGTTTATCCGCAGCAGGTTCCCTAACTGCAAAAACTCCATGCAGGTGAGCTGGATTGGTGTCGCGGTTCCGAGGAACTGCCTTCCGCTTCTACGACCCTGTCAAGATCCCTGTCTTTAGACCTAGACTACATGGTGGACTACGGACTCCATGCTCCATGAGGAAGTTGTCATGATGGACGCAGAGAAGTTCCTAAGCAAGGTCGGGTTGGCTCGGACCCATGCCCTGGAGCTGGACACTCTTCCGTAAAAACACACCCCTCAGATCACCGGCGCGCGACGGAAAGCCTGCAGTATTTAAACTTCTCCTAAGCCGATGCTTACAGATTACAGGGATTAGGATGTAAGGCTGCCGTTTCAGGTTCGATGCTTTTCAGTTGGCCCGTGGCTGTGAGTGAGAGCCGGGATTCGCACTTGGTTGCCAGGTAGTCGTCCAGGCCTTTCTGGACCTTGCACCATACAGCACTATGTAGAGCCCGTCGGCGTCTCGGAGAAGTGTGGGATCACGGTAGGCAAGTTCGAAGATCTGGGAAGAGACCCAAACGACCCGTTGCTACCATGAAGCGATGTCCAGGTCTCTGTTCACGGTCTGCCACTGCGTCAGTAGACCCTCCTGAAAACAGAAGGACCAGTACCGTGTTCGCAGAAAATGCAAGCTTTCTGGGGCTCCTGTGTGCACTGGGTCAGGGCGTGGCCGTTGCTGTGTACGCGGCCTTGCAGAACGCAAACCAACTGCTCATTTATGCCCCGCGCTCTGCCAGCGCCCCCCCCCCCCAAGGCTACATGAAACCACCACAATGCAAGGCTGGCACTCATGGTCTGCCGCCACTTGCCTCGACATATCAAGCGCTTAGCACATGAGGCAACCTCTCCGTGGGTCCGCTTAGCCCTGCACCGTCTACGACCTTAAACTTCTTGCCCTCGGTGGGGAGCTGCTTCATGATATCCGGCCTCAGCTGCTCTTGTAAGAACAAGGCGACCGGTGAGAGCCGCAAATCATCTCATCGGACACTCAACCATCTAGGTGCGTGGCGAGTCGAAGATGGGCTGCAAGTACATCCAAGCCTTTGGGGCATGAGATCAGCTAGCGCAACAAGTGGCATCAGAAGGTCCGCAAAGACTCCGCAAAGAATGATCCCGAGACTGCGGCGCGCTGTACTTTTAGCCACTGATCCAAGCCTCTAAGCAAGAAAACGCAACGACTCACAGTCAAACGAGTCTCAAATCCAAGGCGTGGGCACTCTGAGACGTACATGAGCTTGTCGTTCCACTCGTCGATGTCCTCTTTGAACGGCTTGTTGAAGGGCGAGAACCTGGGCCGATATGATTCACAGGCCATCCCAGCAAAGCCGCCACTTGCTGGGGTTTCTGCTGCATCGCCTGTGTCACAACAATCTGTTCGTCCAGAACGGCCATGACCTGACCACAGTTGCACTCCGTGCGCTCGCGATCCTTCCTGTGACGCTGCCGAGCTCGCAGACCTCGTCGGCCCCCTTGAGAATGTAGGTCCCCTCAGGCGAGCTTCAATCAAAACGTTCTGTTTCTGGTGACGCCACTATCCTCACGTTGGATGCGGTCTGGTGTCTGTTGTTCGATAGGGCTCGCTGCAGTCGAAGAAAACCTTGTCCCAGGCCGCCTGCGAGCACAAACGGCACCCATGCTTTGTCTACACAGGGCAAGCTGCGCCTGCATGCTCTTCAGCTGGTTCTCAATGTTCTGTTCCTGAAGCCCGACACAAGTGATTCTTAAACTTCTGGGGCTTCCATACGGAGCTTGCAAGGGCTTCATTATGGTTTCCTGCGGGTTTTCTGGGTGCTATCAGGAGATGGGAATGGCCTTGCCGGCACGGTCCCCAATGTCTGCAACGGCAGCGGCATGCTCGACCATGCCAAGCCTTGAAGGGCGGGAGCGGAGTACTAGGCCATAACTTTACAACAATGACACTGATACTTCACTAAATTGCACAGTAGCAAAAATAATGATAATCATCATCATCGTTGATCAACATGTGCTTGCAAGCGGTTGCAACTGACGACTCAAAATGAGGGCTTTGTGCGCGTGAGGAGGGCACTCGACGAACTTCTCGAGGGTGAAGTTCTGGACAGTGTATGTTTTCAGAGTGCAAAAATGCAACCCCCAAACCCTAAACCCTAAACACAGCTGCTGGCACTCCGCGGCCTCCATGGTCGGGTTGACTTCGCTGCCAACAAGGTTTGACACCTGCTGCCAGTGCCGCTCGGCCATGCCCGGATTCCTCAGCGATGGGGTGGATCTCACCAGGGGGCACCAGGGGTATTAGGGCTTTTTTTCGTGGCCCAGACCGGAGGCCAACCACAATCGGCACTTTTGGGACGAAGGCATCGATGGCTTCCTTTAAGCACAAACCGCTCACCGGAATGTCCATGCAAAGTCCTTGGTTATGTCCTTGATGTTCCGCGCAATGTTCAACACCTGTCAGGTTCAGAAATCAACGGTCCAGGGTGAGACGTGAATGTTTCTGGTTCTTGCAAGGTTTCAGGCTTCCGGGCCTCTGGAGGTCAGCACAGCAGTCACAATGGGGCACAGGCAGGGCAAGGTCTCTGCAGATGCAGTGGGGAGTACGTTTTCCTTAAGGCTTGACACAAGCTAGTCCAGGTTCTCTCCTTGAGGACCTACCTTGGCTGTCGGCTCTGCTGCTCAATGTAGCACACGCAACTCAGCAAGCCTGACGACCAAGCAGTCAACCGCAGGACTTGCCGTCGCAAGTCAGGACATCCATGTGGGAGTATTTCCCCGAGCGAGAGTTGCACTGCTCCTTTCGGGTTGTCCCTTACTGGCAAATCTTCGCTAGGATCACCCACGTCCCCTGATCCTTCAAGTAGAATGCTTTCAACTAAACTCTACACCCACAAACCTCAAAGCTCTTTCTTCCTAATTTGCTTCTTGGCTCTAGGATGTGTACCACGGGAAACCTTCCTCTCGGCTAGGCTATCGAAAATAGTCGAACTTGCCACCCAATTGATTTCGGAAAAAAACAAACGAGGATGGGGAATATGAGCGAGATACAACAGGTAGCAAGAGTGTGTTGTTTGGGGCTCCCTCTGATACCTATGCCCTAGTATACCGCAAAGCCCCTTCCAGTTCTTCAGGAGCGTCCGAATGGGTAAGGCCGTGCCTCGTCGCATCCTTCCCGCTTTTCGAAGGCCCTGACGGCCTTGAAGAGAGTCTTTGTGCCGGCCTGGTTGGAAATCTGCCCTCAGATCACCGGGGCTCAGGGGCTTTACTGCTAGGGTTTAGGTTTTTGACGCTCACGCAGGCTTTCGGCGCTCACACTCGGACAATCCAGGCGGGGCATGTGGTTCGAGGTCTGGGGTGAAACTACTTTGCGAGCTCAAGACCAATTCAACAGCACAGGACCTTAAGATATCGTAACCTGCTAAGTTGGCTAGGTCTTCCTCCCGAGTTTAGGACTTCCACGCACTACCTGGCTGAGATCACACTGTAGCAGGTTCGGGTAAAGCTAACAGCCCATAGAAAGCCTACGGGGCCGGGGACGACCCTGAGCGCGAATGTGATCCCCATGGAACCTTCACCATTCTTGATGTGAAACTGTCGACTTACTTCTACTAGACTCCGGACAAGAGCACTCAAAGAAAATATCCGTATGACAAGGAAGACCCGAGGGGTGCTTGAACCAATATATGTGGCACAAGCAAATGTTGTGACAACACACCCGGGCGAAAGCGAGGATCAAATTCTCAGTTACACATTACTAATTAACTCATGCAGGCAAATGTACAGGTGTTAAGTTACGATTACACACCCGCTCACCTGGCGCATGTGCAGTCAGAGGCAGCAAGGTACAACCATGGCCAACCACCGACTCAGAACGAGTTGGCTGTGGCACTCACTTGCGTGAGGGAAAATATGTATCGCCAGCTCGGGCCCCCCTCAGTGACTAGAAGAACAATACATAGGTGCTTTAAGTGACTTTCGACGTCCTCTGTCTCTCATGCACCCAGCTGCATGAAGGGTTTGAAGTATGAATTGGCTCATACATGCAGAGTCTGATGTATTGATTTGTCTTTCTCTGTATTCATCAAAAAAGAATGAAATGCTGGCTGCATGGTGTTACGGTCGTGCGGCGTCCAATGTATATGTTATTTGTCCACACCTGCAACATGCATCGAAAGCTCGTTTGGACATGTTCGAAACCATGCATGGGGTCACAGGCATGAGGGCGTCCAATGTATATGTGAGGTATTCCACGCTAAACCACAAGAGTTGACAGCTCGCTTGATTGCCACTTTTGCCACCGGCTTTCTTCCAGTGATTTGCCTGTGCCGTTTATTGCTGCGGCAGCCTGGATTACTTTGTCGTGCTCGCCCTCGGTGCTGGAACACTGTTCCCTCGGCACATGGCGCGCGCTTTTGGGGTCGCCCTTGTGCGTGCCCCTCTGTGCATGGAGCATCGCTCCCTCGGCACTGGCCGCACGGCTTCGCCCCCTTGATGCTGTTTGCGTCTGCCGACTACTTGCTGTATTTTTGCTGCTGCCGCATGCCGGAATTACCATTAATTATCGTTCAAACCCAATTCATTCCTGGCCCCTTGTTCCTCGACCGGTGAAAAATTCTTTCCAGGTGTATCCTCACGGCTATGTTTTGCAGGTTTTTGCGGGTTGCACACCGCGCACCAGGTTTAACACAGTGACCTGTCTGCACTAGCTAATAATTCTCCCCCTGTGACGGAGGGGGGCTGTGACGTTTCCGGAGCCCCTCTGAGATGTTGAGAGGGACGTGGGAGGCAGGCCGCACCGTAAGTGCTGGTCGACGCTCACTCACTCACTCACTGAGTGGGTTCAAAGGAGTGAGTGCCATAGTCCTTGTCCGGGGTTGTGAAACTCGAGTTGCTTCTGTTCAGGTTGGCCAGGGTTTAGGGTTTAGGTTGAAGGATGCCTGCGAAGTCTTGGCATGGCTTTTTTGCATTCTCGATCCTACAATAGGGTTCAGGGTAGCTCGTGTTTTGGACGGGATAACGCAGAGAGCTACAGACACAAGCAGAAGGGGCACTTGCAACCGAAAAAGCCCCGCCATAACGCTGGACTCGCAAGACTTGGCATCCACGGTCTGGAAAGGGCCCGTCCTGTGGACATAGGTGTGGGGCAATGCCACTTGCGAGATTTCATGAGAGGATGGACAGGAAGACTAAGGAGCATACAGCCATTTCTTGGAGTCGTATGTCCAGTTGTAAGCTGTGACCTCAAATCATCGGCAAGCAATTTAGATCCCGTCCACGCCCCGCCGGGTCCCTAAGATCGCGACCCAGAGCTGTGAGAATGGCTCCCACCTTTTTTCGTCGCTAAAGTAGTGCTACAGGTAGCTGCCCATGCCGATGCCGATCCACTTCATGCTCCACGGAATTCGGCCGCCCTTCTATCATCACACCGACTCTCTTTGGTATGCAAGCAGTAGCTCAGCCGTGGGCTCTTTGGTTAGCTGCGCGATCATGCCATAGTCAGTGGCCTGGTGAGGTTTGCTTGAAACTATATATACTATCTATATCTATATATACATACCTACATACATACATACATACATGCATGCATACATACATACATACATACATGCATACATACATACATACATACATACATACATATATAAACA